GCTCCTGTCCTCTCCAGATCTTACTATTTCCCACTTCTTTCATAAGATTCCATGCACTCTGCCCAACAGCTGGCCATAAGTCTCAGCATCTGCTTTGATAGTCTGCTGGGCAGAGCCTTTCAGAGGCCCTCAATGGCAGGCTCCTAACTTGTTTCCTGTTTTCTTCTTCTGATGACCATCCTCTTTGCCTTCCGGGATGGGGATTGAGCATTATAGCCAGAGTCCTCCCTCTTGATTAGTTTCTTTAGGTGTATAGATTTCAGTATGTTTATCCTATCTTATAGGTCTATATGAGTGAGTATATAACATGTGTGTCTTTCTGCTTCTAGGATAGCTCACTCAGGATGATCTTTTCCAGTTCCCACCATTTACCTGCAAATTTCATGATTTCCTTGTTTTTTATTGCTGAGTAATATTCCATTGTGTAGATGTACCACAATTTCTGTATTCACTCTTCAGTTGAGGGACATCTGGGTTGTTTCCAGCTTCTGGCTATTACAAATAAAGCTGCTACAAACATGGTTGAGCAAATGTCCTTATTATGTACTTGAGCCCTTTTTGGATATATGCCTAGGAGTGGTATGGCTGGATCTTGAGGAAGCGCTATTCCTAGCTGTCTGAGAGAGCACCAGATTGATTTCCAGAGTGGTTGTACAAGTTTACATTCTCACCAGCAGTGGAGGAGGGTGCCCCTTTCTCCACAACCTCTCCAGCATGTGTTGTCACTTGAGGATAAAAGGATAAAAAAAGAAAACAAGTAAACTAAACACAAAAACCCAGCCCAGAGGAAAGTTAAAAGTACTGGAGCTGGAACAATGACTGCACAGTAAAGGACCCAAGTTCAGTTACCAGGACCCATGTTGCATACTGCCTCTAATTCCAGCTCTAGAGTATCCAATGCCCTCTTGTGGTCTCTAAAGGTACCTGAAAACTAGTGGCACTTACACACACACACACACACACACACACACACATACACACACACACATACACTAAAAGGTTTATAAAAGGTTTTGTTGTTGCTGTCTTCCTTCCTTCCTTCCTTCCTTCCTTCCTTCCTTCCTTCCGGACCTAAAATTCAAAAGAAAGCCTTTTGAGGAAGAACTTATAGCAATCAAAATTAAGCATAAGCCTCAGAGATAATCCTTAGAGAATGGCTCTTAGATGTAGTGATCTGCCATGACCTTAGCAAGAGGTATGCCATGTCATGACAACCAACACAAGCTGCTGAGAATGCAGGAGGGAGGCATGCCTGCGAAGTAAGCTGATGTGATGCAAAACTTTTTAAAGAGGCTTACATGATGGCCAGGAGATTCTTTAGGAATGCTAACACACAGGGACCTTTAAAAAGTGATGTTATTTCCAATATGGAAATTAAGCTTTCACTACTAATTCAAAGAGAACAATCAAGTTTATAGGCAAAAAGTGAAAAAAATAAATGAACAATTTCACAAAATCATTAAGATTACCAAGTTAAACTGAGTATGCCATGCGATTAACGTATAAGAAAAACATAGCAAGGATATGAGATCCGGAATGACAATCCTACTTCTGCTACTCAGTACATTCCTGATCTTGAGCAACTCACTTAGGCCCTTTGTACTCAGTTTTCCCATCAATACAAAGGTGATAATAGCAGAGCTACTATTGTAGACTTCATGAGAACTGAGTAAGTTCAGCACACACAATTCTTAGCTCAGTACTGATTTACAGAAAGACCCAACATTGCAGGGATTAAGCCCAGCACTTGGGAGGCAGAGGCAGGCAGGATCTCTGAGTTCGAGGCCAGCCTGGTCTACACAGTGAGCTCCAGAACAGCCAGCGCTACAAAGAGAAACCCTGTCTTGAAAAACAAAACAAAACAAAGAACTAAAACTTAAAAATGTGTCTTTACTGAAGATCATAGGTAAAAATATACTTTTTTTTTTTTTTAAAGATTCATTTATTTATTCTGTATACAGTTTCTGCCACCACATACACTTGCATGCCAGAAGAAGGCACTAGATCTCATTATAGATAGTTGTGAGAAACCACCTGGTTGCTGGAAATTGAACTCAGGGCCTCTGGAAGAGCAGCCAGTGCTATTAACCTCTGAGCCATTCTCTCCAGCCCCTTTTATAACAACTTAAGCAGTCACCTATTTTTGCTGGGCATGGTGACAAATGCCTGTCATTTCCCTACTGAGAAAGTTGAGGTAATAAAGTCATGAGGAAAAGCTAGGCTACACTGTCAGACCCTCTCTCAAGCAAACAAGACATAAACAGAATGCCACAGTCTTCCAGTTCTGGGGTCAAACTCACTGCCTTGTTTTACCAATTAACTATTCCTAGCTCCACCCCTGTCTCCAACACCTCACTCATTCAAAGACCGGAATAGTTATCCAGTTATGATAAGTCCTAATGGAATGCTGGCTGAACAGGTTCATAATTCTCTTCAATAAATAGGTCACTATTTGTCCACAATGAAAAAAAAAAAAAAACAAAAAACCACACTAACAATGAACAGATGATAAAAGTATATGTACATATAATACAACTCAGAAAGGGGAAATCACGTGCTCAATTGTAATTTCAAATTGGAAGGAATCCTCCTTTTCAGTGGCTTTGAGATACACCTCTCATTAATTTCTGTAACAAAGTATACACTGCAGAGACTTGTTCATCTTTGTGTCAAAATGAATTAAACATAACTCTGAATAGTAATATGTTGTAATGTTGTCTGTTTTAATTTACATGTGCAGCAGTCTTTAATGATATAGTATATAATTCTTGTAGCCGATCCAGAGACAAAAAGATTCAATTATTTCCCAGATCCATAAGCAGTTACCTACTTCCCTTATATATCAGAATTTTATTACTGGTAGAACAGATAAAATGGCAGTCTACAGTAAAAGATCTTATGATCAATAATATGCCCAAGGAACTAAGAGAAATGCATAAAATATATTAAATTTCATTACATAGTGTCTCATTACTGGGAGGAATGCTGTCACCTTTTACACAAAACACAAGGCCTTCTCTTTAATTTAACAAGGGCAAAAAACATCAGTAAAGCTCTGAAGTAAAATGAGGACAATGTAGATACAAAATTAGGGCATGAGTAAATGATTTAAATTAATATGATAATTTAAGAAAATGTCAAGTCTGCAAATTGGTAGACAGAATAAATGTACATGGGGTCCAAATTTACATTCATAAATGTCACATATAAGATTTTTGATTTAGTGGTATAGCACCTAGAAAAATCCTTTATAGACTTTTTTTTCCCTAAACAATTCAATTCAGAAAAAGAGGGCCCCCCTCCCAAAAATAAAACCCTCTTTGTTATTAGGATTAACCCAACTGCAAAGGAATGTGCAGCCACACGCCTTCCCTGCACATCTTCACTGTCTGTTTCCCTTGCCTCTAAACTTCAAGTATAAGTCACGAGGTAGCCAGAAATACAAGAAGCACAAAGCTGAGTTCGTCTTTAAAAACATTTAGAAGATATTACACAATTAAAACTAGAATATTTGGAATTTACTGTTAAAAATTATTTCAATTTGTGGCAACAATGTGAGAAAGGAACCCACTTTTTCTGTGCTTAGAAAATTCTAATTATAATTATGTAAGAGTATAGAGAATATGCATATAGTAAAGATTATTACAATATAAAACCTAAGCAATGAGGAGAGGATTGTTTCCTAGCCCAAGAGGGAGTAAAATACAGTATCATAATACTGGTACTGAAAACTTAAAAAAAAGCCCATATCCAAAGTGTCATGTTAATGATTAAACAACATTCTAAGGAAATCACGTGCACACACACACACACACACACAAACATTTCATGTAATTGTGTTATACCACAAATCAAGTTAGTAGCTACTCTGGAGGCTGAAAATGGTGCTTCTCAATTAGTAAAAAGTCAATATAATGAAGAAAGTCACTCAGAACAAGCAAAACTGCATTATGCTGTTTTATAATTTAGAGATAAAATGACATCCTGTTTTGAAATGAAATGTCTTGTCGCGGGGTAGAGATGGTGTCTTTGTTATCCTCCCCCCAAATCTGGCACTGGAACAGTGAACACAAAGAAACGAAGGAGTTACCCCAACTCAGGGCTGAGCTCTGGGTTTGCACCAATCACGGTCTAGCTACCACTGCTCCTTTTGTGGCTGGGTTAGACCCTTACAAAGGCGTGATTATTTGGTGGAACCAACAACAACCTGGACTAGACGTGGGATGGAAAGCAATTGTTAAATAACTTGGTGTGAATTTAATACCTGTGGTGGCCACGTATAACATACACACTGCATATTACCTATCAATGCCACTAAACTTGCACATTCCAGCACAGTCACTTTTCCCTCCTCACAAGATGCCACTGAGCCATCTCAAACAACATAAAGTGTTTTTAAAAATGCGAACTTCTATGCAAATCATATATCCCTCCCTTTAGTTGGCAAGAGATAAAGGAAAAATCTGCACTATGAAAACTATGTCCAGACCTTCCCTTGAACTCATTTTCCTGCTGGACTCGTCCTTATCTGTAATGCTGAGGTATTCGTAAAGATCCAGCCGCCTTGGCCCCAAGTTCATTTCTAAGTGGACCCTGCTGCCACCTCCTGCCTTGTCCTACACTAAACACCATCCCTTCCTGATGTCAGGAAGTGGGATGTCTCCATTGAAGGAGCAACCAACAAGCAGGAAAAAAAAAAAAAAAAAAAAAAAAAAACAGCGAGAAATTGATCAAGTCGCCAAGTCTAACGACACCCGAGGGCCAGCAGTGATCTGCCTCCTGAGACTGCTCGGAATGCCCCCAAAGAGGGGAAGAGAAAAGAAAAAGAAAAAGGTGGGCGGGGTGAGTGCACCCGGCCAGGTGAGGCTACGGAGACGAGTGACACCGCCGCGGTCACCTGTGGGGCCGCCGACACCGGGCCCACCTCCGGGGACAGCACCCGAGCCGCGGCCGGAGACCCCCCGAGACCCTGGGGCAGCTGAGCCCGGCCCTGAACTCACCGTCCACGGTCTTCTTCTTGAAGAGGGACGCCATGGTCAGCGGCCGCGCCCGGGCGGCCCAGCTCGGCCCGGTTCGGTCCGGCCCGGCTCTGCGGAAAGGACAGGAAGGATGGAAGCCCGGGGAGGGGCGGGGGCCTTGCAGTGGTGGGCGGAGGAGGACGTGGTCCCCGGGAACGACCTGCGGCGGGTGTGGTCCGGAGAGGCTCGGGGAAACGCGTCCCGGGCGCTCAGGTGACCGGGAACTAACACACTTTTTGGAGAAGTCACTTGGCGGCGACGCCTGCGCGTTGGGCGAGCGCGCCTGCGCACTGCGCGCCTGAAGCCGCCGCGCTGCCCTCACTGCGAAGGCTGCCCGCTCGTCACGGCTGCGGCTAGCGCCCTGCGAGCGGGACCCACGCTTCCCTCCTCGCTCCAGGCAGCGGGGGTTAGGGAGCCTGAGGCTGTGTGGAGGACTGCGGGCCTGTGACTGCCCGACTCTTGACCGTAGAACACCAGGGCAGGGTTCTGGGTGTACGCCCGAGGGTGCTCAGCGTCCCGGACAGCCCCGAGGCCGTCTCCCTCCTGCTCCGCCTCCTGCCGGACCAGGTTTCACCAGCCGCCCGGTTCCGGTGCCTCCACCAGCCTGCAGGGTCTCTGGGGATCCGGGCTCCGGAGATTGTTCCACCAGGAAAGGAGTGACAAGCAAGTTTCTTAATGCCACACTATTGTTTGTCGTTCTTGGCCCGGAAAAAAAAAAAAAAAAAAGTGAAAAGCTACTCATTTGTATTCTTGCTTAAACATCGCCAACTCTTTCTAGATGCCATATAAAATGTTCAGGAAAAAAGGAGACAGTCACACACACCCACAAATTTGGCTATGCAGTGAATCTATTAAACTGCTATATATTTGATTCCGAAACTTGCCATACCGTGTAAAAAGAAGAGCACAATTATTTAAATTCTTGAGTGTATAAAATAAACATAATTTTTGTGTGTCAACGTGTACACCTCTCCGATTAATGTATTATTTCTCTGTTTACAATCAAAATTTTGTTTTGAACATATTTCCCGGCAACACTGCCTTTCATGGGCTTAAAAAACAAAATAGTGCCAGGTGATGGTGTATTTAATCCTAGCACTTGGGAGGCAGAGGCAGGCGAATCTCTGTTAGTTTCAGGACAGCCTCGTCTACCTAGAGAGTTCCAAGATAGTTTCACGGAGAATTTTTTTTCTCGAAAACAATAACAAAAACAAACACACAAAATACAAAACAAAATACCCGAGCCTGGAAGTGTTCAGTGGTAGAATGCATAGTTGTATGTCAGGCCCTGGTTCAATTATTTGGAGCTAAGAGTAACAGCGGTAATAGCATTTTTTTTCCATACGTATGACTTTGGATACCTCATATAACATCAAAACCCTCATGAACAGAGGTATCCCTGCTGCCGCGGCTGCTGCTCCTGTTAGTAAAATTTAGCCAAGAGTTTAAGAAAACTTTCTGAGACAAACAGAAGTAAGCGAGTTACTATTATCTTCAAGTTATTTAGCCGTTTTTAAGACATGAAGTAAACAAAACTGGAAATACGACGGAGGAAAGATACTCTACCCGGGGCCTGGCCTTTTCTCACGGAAACACCATGGTAAAAAAAAAAAAAAAAAAAAAAAAAAAAAAAAAGGCTTGCCTTAACAACATAGAGCTACAGAGCTGTGCTTGAATGCATGAGAGGCAATACGCTGCCGCCTGGATAGGAATCTCACTCCTCCCCGCTGCAGTCACCCTTGTTTTATTACTCCTAAGCGATCCCCCCCACTGACCCAATTGTAACAGTTGGGAAAATGCCAAGTACTTAGCAGCAACCATATGGAAGACCCTCCAAAAGTGCACAGCGGGAGCTAAAGAGAGGGCTTGCTCATTACAATAAAGATAAAATAGAAATATGTACCACTGAAGCTCGGCACTCTAATAGCTTGCTGCTCCCATAGTTTGAAACAGGCTGATACCCGGTTGATATGTCTCAGTCTGCCTGGCATCATTTTATTTAGCTGATGGCCAAACTCAACCCATACATACTGTGCATATGACTCCTTATATAAAGAGCAATGTATATTTCAAAACAGCTGAGGATTGGGGCACTAACAACCTTTAAACTGAAATAAGATGTATGTATTTTTAAATCGCCATTGTCATACACAAATCTGTTGAATCAACAAAAACATGTAAGCATAATATATAGCAGTCTTTCAATACTGTTTTTTAAATCTCTTTAAGAAACAGTAAATTAATATCCTCTGATGATATCTTAAGGGCTCAGCATTGTTCCTTCAAGTTGCTCAGACACCGAAAGCTATGTAGTTCATACCTTGCTATGTGATGGGGATTTCCCAGGAAAAAAAGAACAAACACATGCCCTTGTACCCTTTCTCTTGTGTTCCTGCTAGTTTTCATCTTCTCTCACTCACTCAGGAAGGTGAGTGACTCAGAATAAGAAAAGAGGTCATAAAACCACACCTATCTTGAAGTGGGATGAAAGCTGTGTACTGCTGAGTTCCTTGCCACTTCCATGTTTAAGAAAAACATGGTTGAGCCTGGTGTGGTGGTGTACACCTGTAATCCCAGCACTAGGGAAGCAGACAGGCTGATCTCTATGAGTTCAAGGCCAGCCTGGTCTACAAAGTGAGTCCAAGACAGCCAAGGCCACACAGAGAAACTCTGTCTCAAAAAACAAACAAAAAAGAAATAGATAGTTGCAGAACTGATTTCCTTTAAATATACTAAAGTGCCTTTAAAATACAAAGTAGTAAAATTTAGCTCAGGTAAAGATCTTTCTTACATATGTTACAGTTCATACCAAAGTATCTTTGATCTTGTTTAATTTTCTTTGTAATACAATGAGGCCAATATGTCACAGCATTCCATTATTTTGAATGATTTTGTTCAGGTAGCGTTCATTTTTTTGTTCTGCTTGCTTCCTTTTGTCTTGTTCATTTTGATACAGGATCTTTTGTAGATGCTAGCCTTGAACTGGCTAGGTAGTCTACAGGTTCTGATCCTGATGCTTCACTTTTTAGGAACACACAGGTTTTATATGGTGGGGGAATCCTATCCAGGACTTCATTCATACTGTGCAAGTACTCTACCAACAGAGCTATCTTCACCTTTCTGCTCTGCTTCCTAACCACCTCTCTTGTCTCCCTTCTTTCAGCCTTACTACTTCTGCTGGTTTCAGAACAGTGGAATGATATTGATTTCAATGTGAATCAGATCATGTTATTCTGTTATTAAAAAAAAAAAACAGAATAAACTTGTAATGGTTAATTTTGAGTATACATTTGACTGGAGCAAGAAATGCCTGGGCATACCTATGAAGGATTATCTATATTTCTTTAGATTTAAATTTTCACTCTTAAGTATACTTATCTGTTATAATCTTTAATGAGAAATACAGTTCCACTGCTATAGGATACATTATGTTTATGAAATATTCAGTTTCCATTAGTTCTAGAAGCCACAAAAAGTGAGTTGAGTGTATCCCCCTAACGTTTTCATGTTTCCTCAAGAATAATCTGTTTTCTCTGATACTCACTGGTTTTTAACCAAAAATTGAAGGTTTGTGACATACTGCTGTGATAAAACAGCATGACCAAGACAACCTAGTGAATAGTTTGATTTGACTTGTGATTCCAGAGGGAAAAGAGTCTATGATGGCAGAGCAGGAAATGGAAAGGTCATATTTTCAAGGAACAAACATAAGGGAAAGGCAGAAAACTGGAAATGGTGAATCTTTAAACTCTAAGAGCCTGCTTCCAGGGACATACTTCCTCCAGCAAAGTGAAACCTTCCCAGACAGTGCCAACAACTGGGGAACAAGTGCTCAAATATGTGAGCCAACAGGGTGGCATCCTCATTCAAATCACCAGACCTTCTCTCTGTCTGCTACTCCATCCCTAAATTCTCCTTATAAATAATTAAATATCTATTTCTATTGTTCTCAGATATGTTATATTTTTAATACTGGATTTTAGTTTCTGTGGGTTGAAAGGAAAAGCCTTATTAGACCCAGTAATTTCTAATTGGAACATACACCTACCCACCCACCCACACTCTCTCTCTCTCTCTCTCTCTCATACACACAGAGATAGATATATGTGACATTTTACAGTATAATGACATTTACATATTGCCTAATGTTTCATTATTTTAATTCCAAAATGACACGTTAGCACATTTGCACATACTGTATATATTTAAGTCTTTTTGTATCTGTAATGCAATTGATATTATCTATCTACATAAGCAGCCCGAGGTTAGAAATCTTGGTTCATTTAATAACTAAATCTTGCTTAAATGTAGGTTAGAATTTAGTGTGGACATCCACCTTTTAATTCCGGTTTCATTTAGATTTAGATTTAGGCATAATAAAATCTGTTTTTTGTTTTTAAACTTTGCTGACAACCTCACTTGTATTTTGTTTTCTTTTTAATAATGCTAACAACATGATAATTTGTTCATAAGCAAAACTAATAATTACATAGGCACTTATATAGTATTTAAAATTATTTTTAGAAATAAAAACCTTGGACAGAAAAAGTCATGATATTTTTACATTTATTTATTTATTCATTTACTTTTAGTGTGTGTGTGTGTGTGTGTGTGTGTGTGTGTGTGTGTGTGTGTTCATTTCTCTTCATCTATGCTCTGAGTCCTGGGAGTTGAACTCAGATCCTCAGACTTGGCAGCAGCACCTTTACCTAGTAGGACATCTTGCACACTCTCGTCATTTTAAAGATTAAAACATGACGCTTTTTTGTGTTACCTGCAGTATCCAGTCACAGAGGAGTACAATACTTGGTTTCAGTAAGGGATGAGTAAGAGAGAAAGAGAAGAGAGAGAGAGAGAGAGGGAGGGAGAAAGAGGAAAAGAGAGAGGAGGAGGAGGGAGAGAGAGGATGAGAGGGAGAGAAGGATGAAAGGGAAGGAAAGAAACAGGAAGAAAAAGAAAAGAAGCTTTTCTTTGTTTGCCACCTTTAGTTACCACCTCAACATCCACACTGGTCTGGCTTTGTCTCTACTTCTCCAAATGCAGAGCAAGAAGGTAGCACTTATCCCTTCTAAAGAACAGCACATAATAATATCATCTTGAGCACAACCACCATTTTCATACATCTCAAGTGAAATAACGTGCGCTATATTTTCTACTTCTTAGTATTTTAAATTTGAGGTGATTTTTGTCCCATAAATTCCGTATCCATGTTTTCGACAGCCCCAGAAATTTACCTCGCCTCTCTCTTTGTTGCAGCCCGCTCTAAAAAATTATACACCATAAAAAATGAGCCAGGCT